CCGTGAACTGGTTGACTGCATATATCACGGATGTCTTATCTTAAACTGTTTCCAGATTTACGACATGATCTCTTGGCTAAATTTAGATCTTTATTAGCCAGCATCAACCTCAATACTGCTTCCATCCTCCCCAATGTATGCCATTTCTCACAAAATATGCCTTCATAACGACATGTTCAACCTTCCACAAATGTAAATTCTATCCATCTACTCGTATAATTCTTCAAATTAGAATCTGAAGCACGACTTACTTATCATATCTGTACCTAAAGAACATGCCAAATAATTTGCGTATTTCTACATAACGAAGGTGAATCCCATTAGCCTACATCATAATGTTAACCTTGAACCAGTAACCTTTCATTGGACACCACTTAATTAGAATTACCAAAACACCTTTTTATACTTCTTCGCTTAACTTTTCCAAGCTAGTATATTTTTAGCACTTAAATCTGGGGAATGAATTCATTTGTTTATAAAAATTAAATTAGTAGTCGAAATGAAAAGAATACATTATAAGTAATGAAAGAATAAACATCTTATTGTACCATGTTCAGATTTTTTGGATTAAGTACGATTAAATTATGTACTGCAATAACTAAAAACTCTCCATGGAGAGATTTAAGCCGCTCGCGCGAGCCTTTTGTTATATTTGTTACAAATATGCAAACCCCTTTGTCTTTTGATTTTCCAAGCAAAACGTTTATCATGCCTATCATAATCATACATGAATTTCCATGAATCATTCTCTTGCTTGCAATGAGAACTCGTCTAGTTTTATTTAAATCTTGTCTAACCTGTAAGAGATAATCTAATAATTGAACAAGCTTTCATCAACTGATTTTCGCAAGTCACAGTGGGTCTGTGAAAAATTTAATTCTTTTTCAGATATTAAAGTGCCGGCAGGAATATGAGCTTCCAACTATTTACCTGCTTGCAATGTAAATCTACTTTTAGTAGTTACTGAGTGGCTTTCTCATTTGTGTGTGGGTAATATTTTAAGTGCAAAATTTTATAAATAAAAGTTTGTATATTTAGTAAATTTTTATTTTATACTTATTGTAAAAGAATTTTTTATTTATTAAAATGAAAAGATTATTTTATTATTTACAAAATAAATTATTTATTTATTATTTAATCAAATCTATGAACTATTTTGGAAAAGAAAAAGAAAATTTATAATCATTCTATGTCTACACATATGTTAGGCCCACCAGCGGCCGAACGGTAACGTCGCTGAACACTGATAGTTCGGTCCGCGGTTCGAATCCCACGAAAGGGCTGGTTGCATGGGCGTTTTCGTGGTTTTCCCCATGTGTAACGTGTATACGAGCCAGTTTCCCTTAGAAAGTCCTCCACGAAGGCATCCCTCCCTTAAGGCAGATAGCCCTCGAGTGCTTTGCCGTAATCTAATAAAACCAAAAATCTATACATATGTTAGTTAAAAATGAAGAAATGATTCGCTTCTAGATGGAAATGAATAAAAAAAAAATGTTTACCGTATTGCCGAAACAAAATTAAGCATTCTACTTCAAATTGCAATGTGAATCGTTAGTAAGTAAAATCATAAATTCGGTTAAGATACGTTATTTGAATATGGTGTATTTAATGCGCATTTAATTATGGCAAAGCACACTAGGGCTATCTGCCTAAGGGGATAGATGCCTTCGTGGAGGATTTTCTAAGGGAAACTGGCTCGTATACACGTTGCACATGGGGAAAACCACGAAAACGTGCATGCAGCCAGCCCCTTCGCGTGATTCGAACCTCGGACGGAATTACCACTGTTCAGCGACTTTACCGCTCGGCCGTTGGTGGGCTCTGGTGGGCTTTGAATATGGAAACGTATACATGAGCTGTATGCCTAAAGCAAAGATTCCTTTTTGGATAATTTCTAAGAAACACTGGTTTAATCCCATTACACAATGAGAAAATCACGAACCGCGCAGCAGCTCGTTCGTCTAGATTCGAACTCGGACGAAACTAGGAGTATTTAATGGTCTTAGCCACATTGCCCCTGAAGAGGATTGTAATTCAGGTTACCACGTTTATTTCCTGGATAAAAACTTCAGGCGTTGGAGGAGAAAAAATATTTCCATATATCAAAAGAATAGTTAGAAATCTAAGCGGAACCTAACGGAAAAAGAATCAAGAACTGTATCTTTGTTCAAAAGAGTTAAGTAGATATTATAAGTCATTTGTTCATAGTAAAACCATTAAAATAAATGAAGGCCACAAGAAATCGTTACTGCCAAATTTAATTAATAACGCATATGAAAGCAAACTTTTGATAATTTCTAAAATATTTATTTCTGTTTATTATAGCCAAACGAAAAAATGTCTAATTTCCCAAATGCGATAATGATGAGGATTAAAAATGGTCTTGAGTTAGAATTATTGCGTTCAAATTTTCTGAAGTAACTACACACATTTTGGAAAAAATAAAATTAGAAATTTTTCTAAAATAACAAAAGAAAAAACTGAAAAATTTCTGTACTGGCTGATGAGTCGATAATATTATTTAAATTAAAAGGTTTTGTTGTGCACAGTTCTGGAACTAAGCTTTAAGAATCGTGCATAACTGGACAATAAACGCGCAGAGTGTCTAAAGTTCTACAACGAATTTAAATGTCCCATCTAAATTTATGCGTGGTTTAGTGGTATTCCTATCGAAAATCAACCTTTAATATAGTTTAAAAAGAAATTTATTAGAATAGCAAAACAAAATAATATAATCTAGAATGTATTTAACATCTAATCCGTTTATGGAGCTCTGTTTTCAGTGAGAACCCCTGATATGTCTATAAGCATTTCTAATTTGTAAACGCAGTATGTACACCCATTTTGCTTATTATACATTTCATGCTCTGTGTTCATTCTGTTGGGTTTGAGCTCTTCGAATAAAACAATGCAAATTATGGCTGACGAAGCACTCATCTGCATATATAGTCTTATATTTATGTCCATGTGCCAGATCTCAACGTTATTAAACATATATTTGGGATACCGTGTAGATCAGTGTTTCCCAACCTTTTTTGCGCTATGCACCACCTAATCCTTTCTAAAATTCTTATGCTCCCCCTAGCATATATATAATTTTTAATATTCAAAAATTGAAATGTTCACAAAAGCAACTTGAATGATAGGTTTTAAGAAGAAATTACTAGGAAATTTTACAAGCAAACACAGTAAGTAAAATTTCAAAACATATTATAGAGCTAAAATTCAAGTACAAATAATTTTAATGAAAGTTTTTTCAATTATTATTTTAAATATTAGTAATTATTTATTATTAATAATTACATTATGAGCAGTAAACAGAGACTTTAAGCGTTACTCTTTTTCAAAATTTTTCTTTAAAGTTTGAAAATAATTCAAATCTGAATTAATATGAGCATTATGTTTCGCCTTCAGGAATGCAGCAAGAGGACTTCGTTTCATTGATTTGTTGCTCAGGTATTGTTGGCATAAAAGACAAAAAGGTAACAGTTCATCATGTACAACAGGTATGAAAGCAAATTTTAGATATTCCTCTGAATACTGACGAACTTTTGTATTACTTGCACTATTCACTTTACTAAGGGCTGAAAGAAATAAATATAAGATCAATTAAAAACTACGTCACACGGTTAAATATAAACAAAACTTTAAGCAGCTGCTGTTGTCATTCAAGGAACTCTTTTAAAGCATGTAAATGTCCATATCTATAGCGAAAGTTCTTCTGAAAACATTTAAAATGCACCTCAATTTAAAAACCTTTTTATAAATACATCACTACAAAAGGTATTCGAAATTACTACCATGAGTTGTCAGGTAGGCCTGACAGCGGCGCTGTATGGAATTCTTTACTTTCTGGACTATTCCTTCCAGCAGTCTTGCAATAGATGGCGCTGAACGGGAGTTGCGTGAATCTTGCTAGAAGTCGTCATTTCCAGAGGTAGTAGGATGAAACGCGTATTCAAACGATGAACTGATCGACATGCTGGTCGTGTATGCAGATGTGGATTGTAACGGGCACGCGACTCGGCAGTTGTAAGAGGAACGTTACCCAAACCAAGGAGGTTGGAATAGGTCTATTCTAACCTCCTTGACCCGAACAGGCGGACACCAGATCACATGACCTTCACAAAGGTGTACAGAAGTTTACTTGAGGCTGGTTGTTTAACGAGAGCTACAATGAATCGACAGCGAACGACGAGGACACCTGGCAATGACGATGCAGTCGTCTGGCAGAAGACAATCCAAATACGAGTACTCGAGCGACAGCCCAACATGTGGAGTTTTCTCAATCCATTGCCTGAAGGATACTCGCAGCAAACCAAATGAGAGCATACCATCTTCATCGCGTCCAATTATTAGAGCATGAGGATTATCCACTCCGGAGAACGTATGCTACATGGTTCCTACAACAGAATGCTACAAACTTCCTTTAATTGAAGACCTTGTCGCTCGCATATCTGTACGTATATCTCGCATATCTCGTCGCTAGCATACCTCATCGCGGCATATCTGCCGGGAGGATACTTGACATGCCAGAAATCCTCCAGAAGGAAAGGAATTCCATGCAGGCCTGTCTGGCGACTTTTGGTCGCAATTTCGAACACCTGTTGTAGTACAACCTTTCAATAAAATGTTGTTTGTCCCATTAATGTGTTGCTGTTTCTGTTCTTTCTCTCTGCTTATTTGCACCATAGCTTGCAACTACGGCATTTGAACCCTGCATTCCTATGTGATTCCCAGTCGTCTCTGTACCCCCTACACACCCTGCAAGTCTGTCGCTTTGGTAGCGAATTCTAATACATTCAGAAAAGTTTTTTTAAAATTAAATTCAAGTAACGTTCAAATCTTGTACTTTAGCCAAAACATACAGTAATCTGTTCCATCTACATTTTCGTCAATTCAATTTTTGTCTTGTAGGTGATCGGGGTTCTTGAAATAAATAAATAGAATTTAATTTTTCGTTTATGGCAATTCTCGTTTTGACCTTTCGTACATGGCAGCATGCGTTTGTGTTATGTTTTGAAGTAATACCTTGTGGTGGTTTAGTATAGTGGGGATCTCTCCATGCGCAATGCAGTTTTGTAATTATTTGCATTTTTAGAAGTAGTGTGGGCTTTTCTTTTCTTTTTTGCGTTTTATCTTTGTAAGTTTAATGTCTTTATTACAGCAATGAAATAATACCCGTATTTTAAATATGTCAGTCAATATTTTAAGTTTCAGTACATAGTTAATGCACGTGTGTTCGATACCTTTTTTTTTTTTTTTATTTTTTATTTTAAATGTCATTAGGTATGTTATTGAATTTATGTATTACCTAAACCATTTTGCAGAATTTGACAAACTGCTATTCTTTTTTTTTAGTTCCCCAAATTACTTAGCCTCGCATTTTGTAAATGACGTTCAAAACTTTACAAATTTCAAAATCGATTTTTTTTCCTCTTAGTTCCCAAAAGAATACAGTAATCTGAATGAGAACGCCACTTAACTCCAATGTGGTAAGCAAATTAATGGCACCCTAATAGACTAAATATATTTTACATTTAATTCAAAAGTTATTAAGTTGTCCAACTAGAATACAAAAATATTTTAAAGAATCAATGAACGAAAACATATAAAATAAAATAAGTTTTGCATTAGTTTGCTTGCTAAATGTTTATTTTATCCACTTGAATAGGCTAAGAATAAATTGTCATAAAAGTTGTGAAATGATTCTTTTAAAGTAGCGGTTCTCAACCTGTGGTTTCAGTATCCTTGTTGGTACTTGAGGGCATAGTCAGGTACATGTGAAAAAATAGTAAGTGATGGCCATAATAGATGCTGATAAAAATCAAAATATTTGATTTGGCATTGATTGCAAAGGAAATCAATTTGACTACTTCAGATGTGAATGTTACCATGCAAAAAGTGTTTAAAAGCAATGGGTTAGATCCTAGCAGAGCTCCTTGGCAGCAATGATTTTGGTTATGGCACATATCAATTTGTACATGGACAAAGACATAGGAGTGTGCAATTCTGCGATTTTTTTTTTTAAAGTGAAAATGGGTTCATGTATACATGGATACCGAGTTTGTGCAATTTTTTGACTTGTTATTTTCAAGTTGGCGATTTTGAAAAACGTGAAACATTGTGCACTTTCCCAGTTTGTCACCAAGGGTGTGGGCTGTCCTAGGATTTTACCAAGCAATGTATTAAGTTATAGCTAGTCTTACCCACGCTTACTATATTACTTGGATTTCATATACACCTTATTTAGCCATTTCTTTTCTTGTTAATTCACAATATTTTGTGAATAACTAAGTCAATTATAAAGCACTCTATCTTTAAATTGTGATATGCAAACAATGGTTTGAGTATAGAGCTTTGTTTTAAATTTGTATTCTTTTAAAGTTGCATATTGTAAAGTGTTATTTATGTAAAAATTGATAAATGTTTAAATAGATCTTGGCATAGGACAGAAACATCTTGTCACAAATATTCTCAAAAAGTTAGATTTCTGAAAATTATTATTATTATTTTAAGAGCAGAATATGAGACTCCTTACAAATTCTTGTCAGAAAAATTTTAGGTACTTTTCTGTTTCGCCGGTGCAAATCTCACCAAGCAGATTTTGTTGGCAACAACATACAGTATACACAAAAAATGTTAACAAATGTTAATGCTAAGAATTTTTTATTTTGAAGTCATAAACTATTTAATATGATTTAAAATTTGGTAAAAAGCCAATAAAATTGTAAAAAGGCATTAATTTAAGAATTTACTATGCTTTAATGGTTCAACATCTTGATTCACCGGTTCGTATTCATGTGACCCCATGTAATCTTCATCTCACGTAAACTACACGACTAAAAATCTAATTCTCTCAGTAATTATCTAATTATCTACATTAATTTCAAGTTAAATGTTAAATTAAATCTTATTTGAAATATAAGTTTAAATGCAAGAATTATTTCAATTCATACAAATAGCTTACTCAGAAATTATGTAAAACACGAAGTGCTTTACTTTCGCTAGTGCATTCTCATTAGAATTTGATGAATGTAACCCTTTATTTTGCCTTTTCTATATTTTCATCTTCGGGTGAGTGCAGTGTGATTGCATCCTATTGATTAATTACCGCGAATGGGTCTTAGGGCATAAAATTTAACTATCTTATAAAAATTCTATGTAATCGTATGCCAGTATTGAAAGAAACAGTCAATCTAATAAGAAATGGGCTGCGACTTGTTTCGAAAATGAAGGGTAAAAGGTTACCAGCGGAGATATTCCTCTTGGCATCAGTTGTACCATTATTGGCGACTTTATCGTTTGCGCGAGCAAAACGGAAAAGTACCATATTTGATCTTCAGTTTATAAAATAATAGAGCATAAGAACCCATTTAAAGGGCTTTTCAAGAGTTACTCAAACATTACTTGCCCAATTGAAGTAAGGAAAATATATTGATTTGAGATTTTATCAATAAAAATTCTCTTAAAACAGCCTCAAAATCAACCTTCTGTGGAGGAGAAAAAAATCTTATACTTTTTCTGACTTAATGTATTGCAGTTATTAATTTTATGGCATTAAAAAAAAAAAAACATTCTGAGATATATTGTGAGAATACTGAAACAGTGTTCGGGCGTTACCGGTTTTTAAGGAGGAGGTTTACTTTATAATTACAGTCTGTCTTATTAAGGGGTTTACGAAAAAGTTGGAAACTGCTCTTTTAAAGTATAATATTTCTTTATTATTTAGGAATTGATATCAATCAATGGTTTGGTAAAAATGTATTTCAGTATGCTCCTTGGCGAAAATTGGCGATTGACCAGCAAGACACAATTTCAAGATGGTCGTTACACACACAAAAAAAAATAATTCAAAGAATTGTGCAAACTCAGTGTCCATGTACACATCAATCTATTTTCATTTTAAAAAAATCGGAGAATTGCAAAAACTTGGCATTGCACACTGCCTTTGTTCATGTACATATTGCTCTATTTTTACATTAAAAAAAAAAAAAATCAGGAGAATGAGGACATCATATAAGGTTAAGAACGTTATTCATCACCAAAATTGAACAAAATTTATAGTCAATCGAAGCTCAATGAACTGCATTTTAAATCGTACAATGAAATAACATTAAAAAGGAAATGCATCCTATGTCATCTATGCACTACAAATAGAAAATATCGACTTACCTTATTTAGAAATTTCTGTGTCTTCAGTCTGTAGTGCATAAAATTCCTTAACAACATCCAAAAACTTTCTAAATTTATCTAAACTAGAATATGCATACTGTCATCGCCACATAAATTTAGAGAAATAAAAGTAAAAAATATCCTGTGTCGTACCAGACTGTCAGTGACATTTCTTCCGAAAAGTTGTGGTTAGTCTGTATTTGAAGTATAGTCATGCTTTCCTTTTCACTATGTGAATACAGGGGTTGGACAAAAATATGGAAACACCTTTAAAAAAAACATGTTTCTTTGCTTAATATGGTGTAGGAAACCCGTTGGCATCCAAAACAGCTTGCAGTCTTCTCGGAATGGATAAATACAAGTTCCTGTAGTTTGCCAAGGGAATATTATACCATTCTTCCTGCAAAACGTGACAAGTTCAGATAACGATGTTGGCGGTGGAAACGAGAACGCACTTTCCGTTCCAATGTAGACCACAAAAGTTCGATAATATTCAGGTCTGGTGACTGTGGTGGCCAGGGGAGATGGGACAATTCATCCTCGTGCTCAGAAAACCAGTCCTGGACAATGTGAGCTGTGTGAACAGGGGGCTTTGTCGTCTTGGAAGACACCATCACCATCGGGGAACAAAGTTTGTACCATGGGATAAACTTGATCGGCCAAAATGTTCACATAAGTCTTGGCAGTCATGTGTCCTGACACAGTTATCATGGGGCTACAGAGAACCACGATTATGGCTGCCCAAACCATAACAGAACCCCGCCATGTTTCACTCTTGGCAACAAGCAGTCTGTATTATGGCTTGAGATGGCATTCTCCAGATGTAAACTCGGACGAATGGGAAACAATGTGAAAGAAGACTCGTCAGACCATATTACTACTTGCTTCCACTGCTCTATAGTCCAGCGTTATGACTTAACACCCCCTTTTCTGTACGGGCATTAGCATCACTGATAGTGGCTTCTCAATTGCAGCGCGGCCAGCAATTCCTGTTTATGAAGCTCCCTTCTAATTTTTTTGTACTCACAGGGTCGGTAACACAACATTCATTTCAGCAGTAACTTTTGCAGCTGTGGTCTTCTTATTTTTCGTCACAATTGTCCTTAATGATCGTCTGTCACGATCATTTAGGACACACTTTCGTCCGCGCTGTGATTTAGCAAATGATGTTTTTCCAATTTTCAAATATGCGGAATAAATCTTCGATACAGTACCTCTTGAAACACTAAACACCTCAGCTACCTTGCTTACGGAAGCACCTACCATACGTGCTCTAACAATTTGCCCACGTTCGAAGTCTGTTAACTCTGACATAATGCAATGAAACCTCACATAACAGTACTCCGACAACAACTGAACTGTTTAGCACATTTACGAAGTTGTATAGGTGGCGTCAGTAGTCAAAAACACCAGCGCCACCTACATATTTCATTAAAATCTATCTTTCTTTTCAAACATGCATTTTACAAGGTGTTTCCATATTTTTGTCCATCCACTGTATCCATATTATTGCAATTAATAAACTGTATTAAATATATGTGAAAATAACATTTTATTCATTTTCTTTCTGAATAAGAGTATTAATACATTGTAATTTTTTAACAATAAGTTATTTAATTGATTATTATTGCAAGATGTCTCAAAAATATACTCGCACTTCAAATGATGAGAAAAACTTTGTTTCTGAACATACTGAGGTGACTATTACCAGCGACAGTGCCGTAAAAAAAAAAATGGTCCTGCGATGTCCAATGTGGATATCCCACACCACAGTTACTCTTGGTAAGTTTACATGGTGTTCAAGTGTTACATGAGGATTTACAGGACCCCAGTACATGCAATTATGGTGATTAATGGAGCCATTTAATTTAAAGGATGCCTCATCACTTCTGACGATTTTGTGTCGAAATCCTGCATCTTCTGCACATTTTGCCAGGTGCCATTCACAGAATTTAACTCTCCGGTCAGGATCATCTTAGTAGAGAGCTTGGATTATTGTTGGAATGTAGCATTTCCAGTGCAGATGCTTCATGATGCTATAGACGCTGCCTTTTGAAATGTGGGTTTCTCGAAGAGATTTCTGAGGTGATCGATCCCTCAGGGGGCTCACTTTTGTGAGTACGGGTGTGGCAATCCCGAGGTACCCTAGCCCTTCAGGGGATCATCTTCTTGGTGAGACGGGTGTCACGATCCTGGAGCCCCAGTGATCTATCCTCTTTTCCGTCTCCTCTCCTCTTGGCTGGATCTTTTTCCCTTCCCTTCTCCCTTGTGGTTTCTCTCTACGGAGTTTGGGGCTCGTCACGAGAGGCTGGAACAGACC